GGGGGGAGTGGGGGGGAGTAGGAACATCTGCAATAGTGTGACCAATAAAAATAAAGGGAAAAAAAGATTTAAGTTCTGCTCAGATGTGAGAAATGGTCAAGAACAAATAATCTAAAAATGCTTGAAATGGTTGAATCAGGGAGAAGGAAATCTATTTCTGAGTGTATTTCTTTAACTCTTGCTCTAAATCCTCCTGTTAGCATAGGCTTCGTCACTGCGGCCAGGCCATCGTAGGCTGCTGTCCCTGTCCTCAACATCAGAGCAAGATTACACTCACTGCCTGCTCGCTTTGCAGGCTTTGTGCTAAACCCTTTACATTCCTTCTCATTCAATGCCCACAATAATGCCATAAGGTAGGTATTGTTTTTTCTGCATTGCAGATCAGAAGAAAATGTCTTAGAGAACTTAGGTAACTTACTCATTTTCACACAACTATTAAGTGACAGAGCTGAGACTTGATCTGGGTGAAACTGGGGGTTAAGGTTTCACTTTAGTGAGTTCCATTTTCCATACAAAAGAAAGAAAGCGCTCCAAGGCAAGTTGTGTATGCCCATGGTCTCTCACATCATAGCCTTGTAATTAAATTGTAAACCCAGCCCATAGCTTCTGGAAAGATTGACCCTGAGAACCCAAATTGAAAAATAATGGCCACAGATACCTATTGACTATTGTACAATTACAAGGAAATACTTTTTTTAACAGCAGTAATGGAAAGATATATTTTTATTTATTTACTTTTAACTGGTGAAGTAATGACCCTGGCAATTAGGAAAAGCATGTCATTTGTCAGTGAATCACCCCTAGAAAAATAGTTTTATGGGACAGACTGAACTCTTTTATCTTAATTTTTAAGTTAAAATTATTAATTTTATGGCTGTTTTTCATGGAGAATCATTTTTCCTCTGAGCTGGAGGAAGCCTCACATAAGTCATTTGATAAATGGTTATTTGACATTGTTTTGGGGTATGACCAGTGCTGATGTTAAATCCTAAGAGTTGAGAGGACATGCATCCTAGTTCCATCACTAGACCACAAATTAAGTGTTTTAAAGTAAGTCTCTGGACCTCTCAGAATCTTTAAGCAAGGGCTTAAAATTTTCTTTGGGGATGAGGGGAAGTATAAAACACCATTAGCTGCTAAAAGACTTAGTTTTTCCATGTTTTAAATTTTAATTTAATTTTGCTTAATTTTATTTATTTTAGAAATAATTAATCTAGAAAAATTTCCAGTTACTGGTTACTGTTTCAGTTTATGAACATTTTAATTTATGGATTCTGGCTTAAAGTTCAGCAGTTCAGCTAAATACCAGTAAGTTGATTAGAATGTGAGGAACTGACCATTTCCCCTTATTGTAGAAGAAAGCCCCTTTCAAATAAAAACAAGAATAAAACTTGGGTTCCCATGTTACTCATTACTTAAGGATATTTCTTACATTCTTACTATATAAAAGCTCCAGTACAAGAGAAAGAAGTTATCAGAATTTTAATAACCAGAGAGATAAAATTATAAAGTAGGAATTTTAAATACTAAGTAAACTGTAATTCAGAATTACTAAAACAGTATATCTTAGCCTATATCATTTACATTTTTAAAGGTTTTGAATTTTCTAAATTTTCCATATTTGTATTTTTTTTATTATCAGAAAAAGGTAATTAAACAAAGATGGACTTAAAGAGTAGAAAACAAATTTAAAGAAATAATCAGTTGATGTTCTAATTTGATTATTTTTGTCTCTTTTGGGGGGCTGGGAGCATTCCAAGAGCTTTAGTATGTTGCATGACTAGTAAAATTTGAGTGTAAAGGAGGTCCACTGATGTTTTTAATCCTAATAGAAACAACTAATAGAAAACGTAGTAGAGAAATGGAGACCCCACTGGCCTCAGCTTGGGTTGGGTCGTTGACACAGCAGCGTCAGCGCCTATCAGCCCCTTGTGAAGTGTCCTGAGCGATTGAGAACTGGGGAATACTGACTTGACCTTAGGACTCGACTGATCCAAATGCCAAATTCTAATCTGAAGATGAAAAACTGGATGTGTGAAAAATGGAGCGATTTGGTGAAGCAAACAATGGGCTTCCAGGTAAAAAATTCTGCTCTTGGCTCTTCCATTGAGCCCCAGAGTTAATCACTTGTGCAGTGGTTTCTTAATATGTTTTAGAACTTAGAAAGCCAGAGAGTCAAAACAGTTGTCTAAAAATATACCAAACTCACCTTTTCTGTAAATATCTGTGCAGTTAAGCAGATGGTGCAACAACTTTTTCCATTATTTGTTTCAACACTGATCTAACTCATAGGGTCACGAGTTGAAAAAAACAACTCTAAAACTATTGCACAAAAAAAAGTGATTTATTTCTAAACCAATTCTAATAAACCAAAAATACTAAAGTTTCTGTGCTTCTGCATATTTATGAAATTTGCCTACCTTCCAAGCTGGTCCCCAAGCCACCCACCGAAGAAGGATGCGATCATTCCACCAATTGCAAAGCTGGACACAGACAGGGACCATAACATGGTGATGAGGCCAGAAGCTTCCACAGGCTCCTCCTCAGGCCAAGGGGTTGGTGTTGAATTCACTACGTTTGGGGTTCTAGGCATTTCCTCTGTACTGTCGAGAGCATAGTTGTTGATAGCTTTTCGGTCATCCAGTGGAACATCCAAAACATGTCTGTAATGGGCTACTATTATCTGAGAAAATAAAATTTAAAAAATATCTTCAGTGTTTCAAACATTCTATATATTTTTATTTGTTTTTTTTTTCTTTAAAGTATTTATTAAGTATTTAACAGGATCATCCCAATTATGAGTGTTACACACATACAAACACATACAGATTTATTAATAGTTACCATATCCTACAAAACAGAGGTCACAGATCCCATTGCCAACAGGAGCCAGGCAGGAACAAGTAAGTGGAGTAGGCAAGGAGAGCCTTGATGACTAGAGAACTGAAACACTTTCTCTCCTATTGAGGATGTAACAGCAAGTTAGCAGGATTCTGGCTCTCCAGAGAATCTGCCCCATCTGAAGGAGGAAGCTGCAAACATGAGACTAGTGCTGATGACCTTTAATCTTTAAACAGAAGCTGGAAATCTGGGTTTTCATGTAAAATTTTCCAAGTTTTAAATGTTGTCTACGATTCAAATTGAAAATATTCTGCAGGCTAAAAGATACATTTCCACACCAGTGTTATCTCTGCACAACAGGATTTAAATGGACTTATGTAAATATTTTAATGGAAACATAAAAGTGGATATAAGAAAAAAATTTGGGAAAGATAAGGCCTGAAATAAAGTTGATATACAAAATTCAAACGCTAAGTGCTGTATCCTTGCCAGAAGTGAGCTATAACTTAGCAATAAACTTCCCAGCAGCCAATGCATAGAGAAGAAAACAATTGTGTATATTGATGAATTCCGAGGATTAAAAAAACCCAGGGGCCTCAGAGAAGGCACTGAGCCCTGTGGGTCCTCACAGAGCCATTCTTGATAATGTGTTTCAGTAGAGGCAAAGAGCATATGGAAGTGTAATCGAGTAAAGCCACATCCTTCAGGCTTTCTTCCTCCCATGCCCTACCTCTCAATGGCGTTTTGGTTACTATTCAGCAGCAGTGAGCTGCAAGGACCTCTGACAAGGACCTCTGACAAGGGCCCGGAATGCGGCCGCCCTAGGTTGCCAGTCCTGGGCAAAGTCCTATGAGGCAAAGTCAGCTGAGTAAGGGAAAGAATTGACATCCTGTTATGATAAAAGAAGCCTGACCAAGACATTTGCCTCATTAGAAGGTCACACAATATGGATAATATACAAAGAAAAATGGCTGTAAGGAAATACTCAGAATATTCTCAGCAGTTTGCTCTATGTGGTAGAAAAATTATGGTGATTCTCCAATACTTTCTGCAATAGGCGTGTGTAGTTTTCATAATCATAAAAAGTGTTATTTATAAATAGCCTAAAATAATTCCAAATGTCATTCTGCTGATAAAAACTAATGGGCCTGAATGACTCTTCTTACATATCAGTGTTTTAAACACAGAAGGAAGGGGCTATGAAGAGGGCACTAAGCCAGATGCCAGGGGGAATCATTGTCTTCAGGTCTGGCTCTAGGACTGTGATAAGAGGAGGGAGAGCCTTAGATTGCTTTTCCCTGTAAGACTGGAAAGGATGGTTTAAATAAGAACTTGAGAGAGTCTTCCACGAAAAGAGGCTCTTCCAATTATGGTGATATTGAGCCAAATTTCAGGAAACCTGCTAACCTGGCACATGTTGTCATTGCCCACAGAAAAGAGATAGTGCTCCCCCCCCCCC